GCACCCCACTGGTCACTTCTTTCCAAGTTGAAAAGGAGCCATTGTTTTACTTATCCTGTCTGTACCCTTGGATCTTTACCTTGGGTTTTCTTGCTTTTAGGTGCCCAGAGCACCAACCCATTGATATTAGGATACAAACTAAATAAATGGCATGTTAAATATATGACTGCTCCATCCTACATCCAGCATCTATAGGGTTAAAGAGGCCACAGCTTCCCCCAAATTGATGCCACTCCTCACCAACTGAAACATTTTAATTTTCTAAAAAAAACAACACCATGCCTTTCTGGGGTCTGCTTTAAAACAAAGGTTGCTCAAAGGTACCCCAACATAAACAAAATATACATTTTGTACTGCTACAAAGAGCTAAAATTAGCATTGTGCTGAGCCATACAATGGATTTTCATCTGGTATCTTCAATAGAAAAAGTTAATCAAACACATACATAATGTGGTTTCGGACCTTCTGCGTAGAAATGTAGAAATAGGGCACTAGCTATGCCTCCCTTAAGTCTGTGCACCCCACTGAGCATATCCAATATACAACTAATTTTTTTTTAATTCAGCTACTTAGGGGTACTGGAAAATGAACATCTGCATTGTTTAAATAGCAAGTAAAACTAACATGGGATACATCTGTCTGTTTTGTTTGCTTAAACCAGCAGTTCTCAAACTTTTTTATTTTTATTTTTTGCAGGACATTTGAAAACTCTTGGAAGTCTCTCAGGATCATTCAGTACATCCCTTTCGTTCTATACATCAAAGCACATGTACAACTCATTTTTAATAACTTTTTAAAAATCAGTATCAAGCACCCACCCTCAACAAAGCTGTGTTATGAAAAATCATAGTGCCTAAGCCAGACCTCCAAGGGGGCATCCACACTACACAATTATAGCAGTTTGATACCACTTCTACTACCATTGTACATCCTACGGAGTTTGGAGAAGTGCTTGGCATTCTCTGATAGATAACTCTAGGTAACTAGAGACAAGAGATTTTAGGGCATCTTCATCAAGGTATCCAAAGAATTGTAGTTCAAGCGAGTGGCTCGAGTTCTCTAACAGAAAATTCTTAGTATATCAAATCTACCAATGTCAGAATTCTAGAGGATGGAGCTATGACACTTAAAGTGGAATCAGACTGCTACAACTGTGTAGTGTGGACAAACCCTGAGATGGTCTCCTTTAACAGGGAAAATGTTTAGGGGGAAATTGCATCATTACTATATTATAAAAATCAGCAAACCTATCCGAGATCCTTGTCCGCTTGTTTGATAACCCAGAACTTGATAACCCAAGAAATAAAAATAAATAAACGAACCGTAGGAGTTAGCATGGTGCAGTGGTTTGAGCATTGGACTAGGACTCTAGAGATCAGGATTTCACTCCCAGCCATGAAAACCCACTGGGTGACTCTGGGCAAGTTGCATACTCTCAGCCTCAGAAAATTCTGTAATAGGGTCATTATAAGTCAGAAATGAACTAAAGGCACACAACACTAAGCTCTAGATATTCTAAAATGTTCCACATCTATGCCACAAATCTTCTGAGTTGAACTGGCATGGTACGATTTTGAGAACCTGTGTGCAAACAGTGATGGTAGCTAGTGGTTAAAAGATTAAAAGCTGAAATAAATTTACTGTTCCATGGACAAAGGAACCCCTCAGTTGCCACCACAAAACTGGATGTCTTTCTTCCACTGATTTCAATTTCAAGAATTTCTTCTAGATTTCAATTAGAGATTTAGGTTGCCCTCCAAAAACCTCAGCTCTCTTTCAGTGCAGACATCAAATCTCAATCCTTGCCCTTCCCCAAATGGTCAAGCATCAAACTAAGTAACTCTGAGTAATGTCAGAGAGAAGGCCTCAATAAAGAAACTGCTCATAGGATTACTTCACTGAAAGCAGATGAACAGGACTAGGAAGAGGGAACATACTCCATACATCAGTACTACAGTATTTAGCATCTAGAGCAGGGGTAGGCAACCTTTTTAAGCCCTGGGCCAGTCCCCCGAAGTCCTCCTCTCTGCCGGGCCGAGGGGGGGAATAGCGGCGTGCGCGCTCACGCACACGCGTACACCCCCCATGTGCGCGGCCGCTGCCGCACATGTCGCAGCCCCCATTTTGGAAATCAAAATGGTGGGCACGGCACGCATGGCTGCACGGAGGCCAAAACGTGCAGCGGCGGCAGGGATCAGCCTGGGCCGGTAAGTCCGGCGACCTGGGCCGGAACCAGCCCGGGGGCCGTAGGTTGCCAGCCCCTGATCTAGAGCAAAGAGAACTAGAGTCTGAGAAACAGACCAATACAGGTTGAGTCTCCCTTATCCAAAATGCTTGGGGCCAGAAGTGTTTAGGATTTCAGATTCTTTTGGATTTTGGAATATCTGTATTTGCATATACATACTTAATGGAGATGGGTTCCATGTCTAAACACATAATTCATTTAAGTTTTCATATATACCATATACACATAGCCTGAAAGTAATTTTATACACAACAGTATTCATATTTTTGTGCATGAAACAAACTCTGTGTACACTGAACCATCAGAAACCAACACTATTTCAGCTGCCCATGAAAATGTTTTTAGAATATTTCAGAAATTCAAATAAGAGAGACGCAACCTTTACAAAGTTTGTTCCTTCTTTGGACTACAGTTTCCAGATTTCTGCACACAACAAGGTCACTCCGGGAGTTTTAGTCCAAGGGACGAACTTTGCAAGGTCTGAATAAAATGCCAACAATACTTCCTGAACTGCAGGAGCAGATACTCTAATAGTTGGGAACTCTGAGTAGCTCTTCAGAGAGGAGAGTATACTTAAACCATTTGTCTGTGCAGCTACATAAAAGCTTTGCATAGGAGTCTCATTTTAGCTCTAAGTTCTCCATGTCCCAAAGAGCTATTCCTGGGTTATTTTGGTGATCTAAATAATTTACCACTTTAAGAGCATCTTCCTAGGACATTTCCTAGAAAGACAGGGAACAATAAGGCAAAAGTTGAGTCTTCCTTATCCGGAATTCCTAAATCTGAAATACTCCAAAATCCAAAATTGTCTACATAGGTGTCTGAGATGTGACTCCTTTGCTTTCTGATGGTTCAATGTACACAAATTTGTTTCATGCACAAAATTATTTTAAAATATTGTGTATAAAATTATCTTCAGGCTATGTTTATAAAGTGCATATAAAACACACATGAATTCCATGTTTAGACTTGGGTCCCATCTCCAAGGTGCAAATATTCCAAAATCTGAAAAAATCCAAACTTCCAAACACTTCTGGTCCCAAGCATTTCACATAAGGGAGACTCAATCTGAATTTCAATTTCAACAAGAGAACAAGGGCATACTTCAAACAGCTCTGATTATCTTTTAGCTTAAATGTCAACTCTCAGCGCCTGTTCTGGAAATGACAATACAGTGCTCTTGAGCAGGTTTACAAAATGTGTGGCCTATCCATCCAAACACTGCCACATATGCTGTTGACACAATGGGGTTTCTTTCAACCTACTGTGTTTGCTACCTACCTGAGACTGTCTAGTTAGCATTTAGCAAGCGTGTGTGTGTGTGTATGGCTGGTAGGCTTGTGAACAGCTGGCAAGCTCACTGGTTTCGCTGGCTTGCTTAAAATAGTTAGTTCACCTAAAACACTATTCATGAAGCACCATGTTTGAAGGGGAAACAAGGATCATCTAGTCTAGCTTAGTTTCTAAGGTGGCCACCCAACCTCTGCTTAAAAACCTCCACTGAAGGTTTTTCACTACTTTCACTTTCCAAGATAATCCACTCCACCACTACATAGCCCTTACAGTCAAGACGTTCCTCATGTTTAGTTGGAATCTCCTTTCTTGTTATTTCCATCCATGGGCTTAGGGCTAGGCAACAGAAAACAAGTTTGCTCCATCTTCCATATAAAGTTCAGATAGTTAAAGACAGCCCAAGAAAAATTCTGGGACTTCATAGCCAAAAATTTTTTGCATGCTCTGTGCAGATCCATGTTACTGACTGAATTTTAAGACAGCCATCCAGCATCTTCCCTCACTTCTCTTCATTTGATTTTGGGAGAACAGTATTCCAGCTAGAACCAGCATGGTATACAGTGGTTTCAGCACTGGACTACAAGACCAGGATTTAAATCCCTGCTTGGCCATGGAAACCCACTGGGTGACCTTGGGCAAGTCACATTCCCTCAGCATCAGGGGAAACCAGAGACAAACCAATTTTGGGGAGAAAAGTGAGATATAAATATAATAATAATAATAATAATAATAATAATAATAATAATAATAATAATAATAATAATAGGCTTACCTTAGGGTCGCCATAAGTCACAAACAACTTGAAGGCACACAACAACAACAACAACAACAAAGTATTCCAGCTTGAGCTATTGGCAGATTCTGGGAGTTGTGATCCAATAAGTAATTTTTCCAAAATTTGAGACTGGCCATGCAGATTGGAGATTCTGAAAATTATAATCCCCAAAAGTAACTTTCCTAAAATCAGCTTAATCCAAAACATGAGACTGCTATGTGAAGGGGACCTTTGGTGACACAAACAGCTGCTACCCACATGGCTACCACTGGCTTGAGGTCCAGTTACTGTGCACTGTCATTTATTCATTGTTCTAACCGTGTAGTAATATTATCCAGTTTAATCCACAGTACAAAGAGATGTTTGGCCTTTTTAGTCATCAGGGCGCTTGCAAAAAGCGTGGGATGAGTCCTTCCTGAATCTTCGTTTGCGAAGAAAAGCCAGAGAGACAAAGAGATGTTGTTCAGTCACCCACTAGAGTTTGAGTCTGCCTCCCTTTATTTGCTGTTAC